CAACATCACTAAACCCAATGTCATCTTTCACCGCTTCATCTGTTTCAGAAAATTCAGTCTTCCATTTTGTTTCGCCTCCTCTTCTACCTTCAGAAAAATGCCCACTATCAGCACTTTGAAGATTTTCTCTGTCAGGCGAACCTTGCTTCCATTCTGTATCTTTTGGTATTTTCCTATTTTCTTCCTTGTTTGTCGTTGTTTTGGAATCGGATTCAATGTTCAGATTAGAAACTTTATTGGAAAACATTTCGGTAAAGCGTCGACTCTTCGGCGAAATAAATTTTTTCTCTTTTAGATTAGCGTCGTTAAAGCTTTGCGATCTTTTCTCTAATTGTTTTGCGTTATTCTGGTTTTCTTCATTCTTTTTAATGTTGAAGAAACTAAGAAACTTCTGGAAACTTGTTTGACCATTAGTTTGAGGTTCAGCTGCAGGAATGGAAGATGTGCTCAGTGTTGATTTCTTAGTAAAAGGAATTAGCAGGCGTGTTTTAGTTTGGTGTTGATGCCAAGTGTCTTTCTTGTTTTTATCTCTTCTTGCTTTTCTTTCACGGTGATATAAACAGAAGTCCACTATCAGCCATGTAGCTACCACACAAACAGTGGACCCCACGATCAGAAGAACAAGCTGATACTTCTCTAGACCTAAAAGGTAATGTATACATCTTTACATAATCGTTGTTAAGTACAATTTTTGCTTTGATTCTTTTCACAATTTTTGACAATTGATGTGCGACAATATATTCGATAATGGTGTTTAATCAAATGTGAATACTAAAAGCTCCAAAGAACTTTTATAAGATTTGAAATCACCAAATTTTACTTAAATCAACAGATCGAAACATAATACTTGTCAACATTTTATACATCCCTTCTCCGTGATTAGTTTAAGACTAGAATTTTTAACATTTTTAACAACTGCTTCTCTTATAAAAGATTGGGACTTACGATATCTTGTGATTGGTCATCTGCAAACCTACTTTCTAAAAGATTATGTGCAAAAGTACTGAGAAGTTGATATAAAAAAATGCGTGAGTTCCTCATTGTTTATATCCATCCACGGTCTTTGGCGACCAGGTCTTCAAATAATCTGTTAGAATTTCCATGAGTACTAATTGTGCCCCCATATTAGCAGACATGCTTTTCTACTCCTTTGTTATGAAGCAAAATTTATTTACAATTGCTACAGGAAAAGACGTATCTTGCGTGACCTTCATTTCGACATTTACGAGTAGATATACAGACGACGTTTTATCAATGAACAATATTTATTTTCATTCATACGTTGATTCGATTTATCCCACTGAACTAAGAATTAAAGACACAAAAGAGTCTTATAAATTTGTTTCGTATTTGGACTTTTACTAGAGAAGGACATTGATGGCAAACTCACAACTAAACTTTATGATGACTTCAACTTTTCTATCGTTAACTTTCCCTATTTTATATACAACAATATACGATTATTACCTGAATATGGGGTTTATGTCTCCCAGTTCATTCGATATGCAATAAACCAAGGCAGGCTACTGACAAGTAAGTTGATAATACAAAGGTATCAAAAAGTCAACATTCTGCAAATTCTATGGTCGATAGAATGACCTTCTTTGCAAATAAAACCTGTCGTTAGGTCGAATGTTGGCTGAACTTTTTAAAACAAAGTGTAAGGTCATTATTTTCATGATGAATTGTTTATGGATTGATACGTTTACCCGATAAAGAAAAAAGGGCTCACTGCCGGTGTGACCGATCGACAGGGGTTACTTCCTTCTCCATGGCATCTGATTCCACCTCCGATGTTTTCAGGTGTCCATATTTGCTCTGCTCTCAATTTGTTTTGTTTAATTGGAAGTTTTAGCATGATTGCTGGTCGTTTTCTTCACATTTCATGGATTAAGTATTTAAGTAAATGGATATAATTAGATTTAATTTTTTTTAATTCGGGTAAATCTGAATGATTATACATTTTACCTTTTTTTTTATTACGTTACTTAAATTCTGTCAATTCTGGTGTATACAATACAGACTTTAAAAATATTAATTAATTTAATTTTAAGAGAGTACTATATATACCGAATTAGATAAGCATTAAAATATACCACACTTAAAAAAAAATCTTACAAAACTCTAGCAATTGTGAGACACATGTACATGTAGTTTCAAATATGATTTTTACCTTGCATCTGAATTATGAATATAAAATCCATTTATCTTTTACAGTCACACCAACGTGAAGAAAACTAATGCCGTCCATTCTCAAGTTAGGCCAGATTTACCAAAAGAAAATTTCACACGAAGTAAGAACATTTATTATTGATGGCCATAGCAATGTCTTCATAGAGAAAACCATGTTAATTGCATTCCGTCAATAAATGAAAAATGAATGGGCCCCGGAACACTTACTACATATTACGATAATCTTTGTTTATGGATTTATGAATGTAGATGTATTAAATATTAACTAATAATAGAAAAAAAATACATTAGATCGAGTCATTAAGTATGGAAATGGATCATTATAAAATGGAACTAAGAAATACACTATGGAAGTGGTTCTAGAGCTCATGTCTGTAAACGTGATATAAAAACATTTTTAACACCATGCCACGGTGATGGAGAGTTATCTATTTTTAAAAACCGATCTGCTTTTCAGTGAGAAAAACATACTGTATTATTTATAACCTGGCAACTGAAACCTCTGAAACATGGCAATATTTTGCCAATCCTTTCAACAGACATTAAGGGTCCGTGTAACACTTAACATTTACCCCCCAAATCCTAATATTGTATGTACAGGTTGTTATTGTAGATTTTATTGGAAGAAGTTGTCAAAAATACATTTCTTAGTCTAAGGTATCAACAAGTCCTATAGTTTGCTTTTTAAAAAATGGTAAATATAAAATTTGTTGAAAAAGTTTCATACAACTTCACGTTTAGACTGTTACTATCTCGTTGTATACTCATAGAAGTATTATCATGGTGACCCTGCAAATGTGCTTTATATTGTAAATAGTTATTCTCTTAATTGGTTTTTATGGTTAAATCATTGCAAGAATATTTTCATTTTACTTAATATACTCACAGTCTATGTCCTGATTTCAGGGTAGGACTAAGTTGGTAATATAATAAAATTTGAAATACTAGTTTTTACCCTTTGACATCTAGCAAAAAGTTTTAGTTTCAGTGAGCAGTTAACCACCTCCCCAAGACTTTGTATTGAAACTCAAAGGTGGGACTAAGTTGGTTATATAAACACATTACACCTCCTTCTCTTTAGAAAAATGATTATATGATTACAATGAGCACTAAACCCTTTACAGAAATTATACATGTAAAAATTAGGGTCCTGTCTACAGAAAACTATATGCATTATTATAATTAACACTTAGCCCTTTAACATTTTTTTAAATTCATGTCCTCAGTATATGTTCAGGTCCCCAAACATTTTTGGAAAAGCCTAGTCTAGCACATAAAATATTGCAAATCATACACAAGAAAAAGTATTTGAATATAAGTTTTATTTATCAATCTACTATCAATCAGGAGGCCAGGGTTCGATTCTCGTTTGCCGTTCAAACCCCTAAGACGTAAATATAGGTAGTGATCGTTCCATTGATAAGCGCCCGGCATGAGAAATGACCCCTCGGGTCTTTCGTTTGAGACCGTAAATCCCGAGGTCCCGTGTTACAGTAGGCGTTGGTACGATTATTAATAAGAACTCTCACTGCTCATTGGCCTTGTGTGCCGAGTAAAGGTCTAAATTTGAAGTCCTTCACAGGCATACGAGCATACGGTGACGTCTCTACATGAGGGAAAATTTCTCAAAAAGAACTTTAAATAATATAAATGTACAACCAATCGATCTACTATCTTTCAAAATTTACTATTTTCCATTTAAAAATGCAGTATTTTTTGTTAGTTGATAAAATTAACGTAATAAAATTAATTCTCACTATGCATATCAGTCATGATTTTTCTGAGAATTTTCATTCTTTTTTACCATATGTTTGCACATTTTGCATGCCAAAGTCATTTTTCTGAATGCATCTAATTCATATGGGTTCTAAGACATATTTTTGCGTTGATTTTACAGCATTTAACCATTTCAAATTCTGACAGTGAACTTTTTTAAATTAATGCTAGACTAGGTATATTTACAAGATACAGTTTTCCCTTAAGTTAAGCTTTAGTTCCATGTAGTTATAAGTTAAACTCTTGTAATATAGGATGAACGGATGGCCATGCTTACCTAAATTAACTGGCATCTTATAAGTCGTCTCCCCACTATAATTATTAGTCATCGTGACCAAAACAGAGATAGCGTACAATTATACACAAGAAACACATTTGTCAAATCAGGGGAACGAAAACTATATCACAGACTAAAAATATTCAATACAACATTATAAGTCGATTAACATAATGACATAATTGAACGACATTTAATCAATTATACCTTTATGAACAGAATTTACTGTTACTGGGATATATCATTGAAAAATACGAGATTAAGTATACGTTATTAAAGTTCATAGCAATAGACATAGGACCAAGACAATATTGTTGATTGTTATTATTTATTAAGTTATTTTTACTGTCACGTGTTTTCTGAAAATAGTTTTAAAACTGTCTTGTGCACAGATCTTGGACAAATCTTGCACATAAATTTCTTTACTATCACATCTGTGAACACCCTCCTCTCTCTCTCTTTCGTGTGAGGGTGTGTGTGTGTGAGAGAGAGAGAGAGAGAGGGTGTGTGTGTGTGTGTGTAGGACAGGATGAGAACTAAGTTTTGGACCATAACATAATTATCCTTTTGCAACAATAACACGTATCCTTTTACAACAATAACACACATCCCTTTGCAACAATAACACGTAACAATCGCCATAGCAGATCAGCAGAATACACTCTATCTTCGAAATCAAAAAAAGGAACAGATAAACAAAGAATTAAGGATTTTAAGAGTTTTGCTGCTCTGATTTGATTTCTGTTGGAAGTCTTCAGTCATCTGTAGCCTTTTCATCGTTAATCACTGAGTAAAAATCTGACTCTTCATCCTCAGAAAGTTTGAATGAACCCTTTTCATTGGAAGATTTTTTATGCACGTTTCTGGGGGAACTGCCCATTGCCTTTTCTTTTTTGAGCTTCTTCTTCAACTTGTTTTGTATCGGAGAGAGGGTATTGCCTGTTGGAGATAATGGCGCTTGAACTGGTGACGTTGTTCTGGGTGATTTCGCTGTTGAGTAATCTTTGTCTGTTGATGCTTCAGGGGCAGCAGTATTGGGGACAGGTAATGGTACTTGCATTGAGACATGGTGCATTTGTAATCGTTTCGGTTTCTTTGTGTAGAATTTTGCGGATTTCTTTTCCTTGTGCTTCGCTTTTTCCCGATGATATAAACAGAAATCGGTAATCAGCCATGTGCAAATCACCAACATTGTTGATCCAACAATAATTCCAACTAAGATGTACTTGTCTAAACCTTTGAAAAAGGAAAGCAATACAATGATGTTATTTACTGTTCACATGTTATTTACTAGGCACTTAATTGAACCACTTTCCATGAACTTTTTTTTTTAGGTTCAAGTTCTCTTGTAAGTTTTATTTAATATTTTGTTAATTTTCTATTGTGATAAAGGTATTGAAAAGGAATTTCTTTTTGAAAATATTTAAAATATTTTAAAATGAATTTTATAATTTTTCAGAGCTTGGGAATTTCAAACTGGTTTCTGGTTCGATTTCTTTTGTGTGGTGGTAGTTAGAATTGATTGTACATGTAGATAAATATGTATGCTCAAAACGAAATTTTCTTTTTCATTTAATAGATTTTCTAAAAAATAAAATCGGTGAAAAGATACTCAACTCTATCATATGTCACGAAATTGCATTTTTTTTAAAATTATGAATAGAATTACAGAAAATTTTTAAAAAATTTAGCAGTATTTCTTTGTTGGCGTAAGCTTGATACTACGTTCTTTCTAGTTTTAGTAAATTAGGCAAATATAAGGTTAAGTATAATGCTGTTCGCATCAATTCCTCAAAGGAGTTGCAAAAGTTGAAAAAAAAACTATTTTGGAGAACATAAGGAAAAGAGTACATGTATGTAAGTGTGAACAAGGTAAATGCACTTAAGATGTCGTTCGAGTTTAAATGGCAAGTAATAAAAAAAGTGGTGTTTTGAAGATTATAAAGGTTTTTAGCACCTAATCTGCTTTGTCTGTGTAACAGATTTAGTGTTACATGTTAGTCAATTTATACGATATACGGCAATAATAAACAAAGTTTTATTTAACAGTAGGTGAATGGTTTTCTCAAAAAATGATCTTTAATGGAAAAGTTATAATCAGGCAATTTAATTCGTATATAATTTTCATTTTCATATACTATTAAAAGAAATAGAATTTTCATAATAATTCATATAAATGCTTTACCATGAAACAGGCATACACTTAATCTCCCTTTAAACTATACACAATATTTTATAAACCAGAAAATTAAAGAAAATATGTTATTTACCACTTTCAGAGGTCGTCATCTTCACAAATCACAGGTGTTTTTTGTCTATTCATCCAATATTAACAGTGATCATTTAATTATAAATAATGCATTAAGAAAGGTGGCAGTTAATCTCTGCATTACTAATCTTACGACGCATAGTATAAATCCTATTTAAAAGTCCCATTCTCTAAGTGTGCAGTTATTTTTAATTTTCAAAAGGGGAGTAACTCTGTAAGAAAGAAACCTAGCACGATTTAATGTTAATGGAATGTTGGAAATACATGAATATAATAAATAATTCCAGACCATCCTTAAAAATGTTTCTTTGCCCTTTCCCGACTCTAGATGAAAAAAATTCAAAATGAATTTTTTAAAAAAAACACGTTTTTTGGAGGTTTAATTTTTTTTTTTTTTAAATTGTGACGAGCCATTTGTTTCCAGTCTGTCGGAAAGGTCAATCAAAGTTTTTCTTTATATTTTACACTTAAACAAGGGAGCGTAGGAGAATTCTCAATATAATATAATTCAAAAAACTGTATGATTTATGGGCCTATATATATTTCTTTAAAAATCTTTATTTCAAAATTCTTATTTTGAATATAGGGACAAAATCTTGTTACCTTCGATGCTATTAACATCAAGGTCAAGTCGGGATGCGATTTCTTTAAACTGTTAGTCCAATGTCATATAGGGCTGTTTGGAACTGTTAACATTGATGAAAGGTACCGATAAATAAAGAATCAGGAATAAGAGTTAAACATTTGATTAATTAATGAATACCAAACTTTAATTCGGGGAACTCATTGCCGTCTTCTTGGAAAACGGTATACAGATTTGAAGTTTTTTTTTATAGTCTTCGGACTGTGCACTTCCTCTCTTTTGTGATTGGTAGAAAATGCATTCTTGAAAAAATCGACAAAACGAACAAAAGAAAATTGCAGTAAATGAAAATGACACTTTTGAAATTTTCATAGCAATTAATTAAAAGTCTATCTTTCTATTCATGGTAAATATGAATGCTTTTTTTTTTTTGCATTCAAACATTAAAATTTGTGTTGTTTTTTTTTACGTTGCCACATAGGACCCGGTCCACAATAAAAGGGTGAAGGTCAACCACTTTAAATATAGTGCATGTAGGAAATTAACATGTCTTACTTTCATTGACTACAGGAAGGACAAATGGAAAATACATGAAATTTAATGAACATAGAATGGTTGTTTATTGATTTAAGTTTACAATGATATGCAATAACATGGTTTAAAGCATAAACTATGCACTTAGATGAGTATTGAATTGGGTAGTGATTTGGCTTGTGTACACTTCTTTTCATCGCCCATAGTTATTTAAAGAGCATGACATCACAAATTTATTAATACAGAAGAAAAATGCCTATGAACACCCCCCTTTCTTGTTATGTATGTGTACTGGACAGATTGTTTAAGCACATGCCGACTTGTTTTTTATTGAATACTCCTTTATAAAATATTACAAACTAAATAAACCACGTGTTTTTTTACTACGTAAGTCTATATGTAAACTAATAGTGGTCCGGGTCCACATGGTTGGGTAAATCGCATCTTCTCGAGCCTAAGGGGGATCTCTACAACGTCACAACATGGCGTACTTTCGTTTGAAACGCCATTTTGGTCCGAAATGAACTGATTCTGTCCTAAACAAATTCACAGAACACCGAAAAATCAACGGGTATAACTCAACTTGCGAGATGTATACTAGCTTTATTTTGAATGGAATCTAAGACTATCCCATCGAGGCGACGAGAGTGGCTAATACAGCCTTTCATTAAACATGAATTGTTTGTCAATATATTCAGTTTCAACTTTTTTATTCATAAACAATATAATTTATTAAAATAAAATATGATTATAAGTAAAAAAAAAAAAGGTTAATATGATAAACCAAAGCCTTGTCACCATGATATTTGATAATTGCGTGTCAAACCCACTCATATGTTTCCATAAAGTCCAAAATTGATGCTTCTCACTAAAAGCATATGCTTTCCAGCGAAATATATCCAAAAATGAAAATTTAAACAGATAAAGCATATGTATCACCTTCCCATCGCCTAGAGGAGACACCCTGTTCCCAAGAAGTATACACCCCGCATGTGTGGTTATACCCGGTGAAATTGAAACCTTTTCGTGAAATCACCAAAACGCTTCGATAATATTATATTAACTCAAACGTTTGATCAACATCGATTATCAGTTGTTTTGTATCGAAAACGTGCAGATTTTAAACAAAAAAGGAATTTCGTTATACAAATTTCTTTAACCCGCTTTTGACCATTTACGTGTCATGTCATCCGTAGCACAGGATAATACAGGATGAAAACGGTAAGTAGATATACCTTTCTCAATACTATGAATTCCCTTTACATGTTTTGACTAGAAACGTGTGGGTCTTCGCTTAAATTCATTCAAAAACAATACAATACGAACTTCTTTCGAGGTCCTAGTTTGGCATGTACCTATTAATTCCTTTTTTCAATACCTGTGCAAGTTTTAAAAGAATTAGATTAAATATATTTGAGCCCAAGATATTTGAGCCCACTCTCTAAACGGATCTTTGACACCTAAATTTTTGTGATGGTTAAAATTTTCGTCAATTTTTCAATTTCATTCAATTTCTTTTTTTCATCCTTTTAGCCCTTTGATATATTTATTTTCCGATTTTGCAGGAAATCCGACCAGTTCTTCTCATGAAAATGCTGTTTTAGTTTTTCTTTTGTCTATTACTGTAAATTAAAAAAAAAATCATGTAGATTTCATTTATAACTTTGCTGGTTTTCATTTCAAGATTTTAAAAAATTAAACTTCGAATAGAAAATTAAAGCATAAGGCTTTTAAAAATTAAGAATCAAGGGTTTTCTACAAAATAAATTAAATATTTTAAATATTTCCAAAAAATAAAGTTAAAAACTTTGGAGCTTTATTTCATTGGATATTGAGTCTATTATTACAAACAAATGCATGAAACAAAAATCATTTATACTTCATAGGTGTAGAGATCCTCCTTAAAGCAAGCTCGGAAAAAATGTGTTTTTCCGCTTGTCGGAAAGGCCCAAGAAGTTGCAATCGATGGCTGGACTTATGTCTGTAAGAAGCTGATGGAGAAATAAAAAGAACTGCTCAAAACTAACACGGCCTGATAGGTGTATGTCAGTTTACTGTTTAGGGTTATTACTAAAGACGGAAAAGCTTTTTGAAAAAGCTATACATGTACTTGTGTAATACATTATTTTTTTTTGCAAACTGGTACTACATGTATATATAGTAAATATAACAGGACTCTAATGCTAGAAATTCCTATAAGGAAACGAATGAGGATAAAAAAATTTTTTTTTAATTTTTTTTTTTACAATACTCAATAAAACTTCCAAGTTGTCACTATAAAATTTGTGATAAATTCTACGATTATTATTAAAGAAAATGATTGATATTTACTTCTGAAGTAATTTGTGCTAAAAAATACAAAAAAATATCCTTATAAAAATAAACAACAGCATCTTCTGTTTTACGTTTTGATCAATGGATTTCATATATTTTTTAAAAAAATGGATCTGCGTTTTCAAACATCTTGATCTGACGGAAGAACATTTCATTTTATTTCAGGGATAATCTGATTTTATATAAAATTAAACGATTTCTATTTCTTAGAATAGGTAATTTTTTGTCTTGAAATTTTAATAAAAAAGAATAAAATTCAGAATTTTTACAACTGCCTGCCAAAAACGTCAAGTAACCCCAACTTTTTTTTTTCAAGATGATCCCCTTTTGTCACTATTGAACGTTGTTATTTTTATCAATATTTAGGTTTCTTGGAAAAATCAGTTGGCTTAAGGGTTTGGTTTTGTGTGCAGCCAAGTTAGACTCACTAAAAATAAAAACCTAAATATCTCAAAAATTAAGCCTCGCTAACACTTGAAAACTGGTCCATTTCATCTTCATATTGAAAACAATCTCTGGGTATATGCAGCTTAACTGAAACTTGCAGCAGTTTGCAGCTATGAAGTGCACAATACACCTGCAGGACTGCGCAGCTACAGGTTTTAGTAGTGCACCAAAAAATCCAAAAAAATATGAAATAGTTAAACCAATTAAGTGGCTACAACTATTTGTGAAGAACCTTTGTTTTAAATGTAAACTCACTACAATAGGTACATTTCTTTAAATGCATACTTGTTAGTTCAACAATAAAATGTTAGCCATGAAAGTAGTCCCAACCACATGGCAATGTGTTAAAAATAGAATTAAAGAGACTCACTGTTGATCTAAAAATAGTATTTTATATGAAAGCCCAGATGTATCTTAAGTATTACTCTATGGTATGTACAAAACACAGGGAAATTAATGTCAGAAACATAACTTTCTCCTTAAAAAATATGCCAAATAAGATGTTAAAAATCTGCAGGGGGAATGAAAGTGTGCAAATTGAATAAGAGGCCTGGCCCACAACATTCACTTGAGTCACCTCGATGTTCTTCAGATTTCTAAGACATTCTTATCCCCCTTAATTTACATAAAAACAAATTTGAGCTAATATTGTGGCCCCACCCTGGGGTCATAAGGTCATGTCTAATCAAAAACTGATTCCACAACATTAGGATATTTCATTATCAATATGGCTAACATGGCTTACATGTATATGTTTTCTAAAGTTTTTTTTTTTCACATGTATACATGCATTTACCAATTTATATATAAAATCTGATCTCAGATTTATTTTAAAAAAAATTGAAAAAATACAAATAGGGAATATTTTAATATTATTATAATATCAAGTCTGGCCCATGATTTAGACCAATTTGAATCTTCACTACTTGAGGATGCTTGCATACATTATGAGCAGGGGTTGAAATATACGGTAGCCCGACGCCCGGGGCTAGTCAATTTAAGACTCAGGGGCCCGTTTTACAAAAGAACTTACGACTAAGACCAAAATTTTATTCTGCTGATAACTTTCTAATTTACAAGAAATTTAAAACGGTTTTAATCTTTTTAAAGGGAATGTTGAAA